GGGTCGCTCCGATTCGTCCCTCCCCTTCGGATTTTGTCCCCCTGCGGAGGTCCGAGAGAGCACGCAGCGCGCGCCCCGAGACACGAAAACGAATCCCATGTTGGCCAAGGGGATTGCTGACGCTACAGGACGAGTTGCGCGACGGCTGCAGCCTTTGCCAGCAGGCCATGCCATGGACTTGCCCCGCATGCCATGCCTTGGCAATTGCTAGCGTGCCACGCCACCGGCTTGGCCAGCGTGCAAGGCCACTGCCTTAGCGAGCATTCCATGCAGAAGCGTTGGCCAGCATGCCATGCGCCGGCCTCGGCAAGCATGCCACGCCACGGCCCTCGCCAGCATGCCACGCCTTGGCAGTGGCCTGCATGCCTTGCCACCGCCTTGCCCAGCACGCCGTGTCAAAGCGTTGCCCAGCGTGCCGGGCCACGGATTTGGCCAGCACGTCATGCCACTGCCTCGGCCAACATGCCTTGCCACGGCGTTGCCCAACGTTCCTTCAAAGTGAAGAAGGAAGATTTATAGAGTGGGGATTTTTCTTTATTCATCACTTAAGGTAAGATTTATTTTATTGCATTCTTATCTATGATTTTGGTGTTAATATATCAATAGATGATTTTATGGGCATATATGATTAAATAGATATGTTGATGTAGTCTATGTTGGGGGTCTCAATTTTGCTCAATTTTAGAGTGTATTTTGCATCCCATTTGGGTGGTTCATATTTTGAGATTAATATGTGATAGGTTAGGTTTAATGGTGGTGTGTTTGTGGGATACACGATTGACTACAAGCAATTACAAATTTTTACATGTATATAAACAACAAGAGAATAATATGGGTTGAGAATTTCTGAAGCCGTGATGGCTTTGTTTTGATGCTAAATTGTGGGAGTTCTTAATAGGCAATTGGGTTAATTTATTCTATTGTTGTTACAAGAAGAGATGGATGGGTGCACATAATAATTGTTTATGCGGTGTAATATTTTATTAGGTTTGTGAGATTGAGGTGGATCTTGATAATTTGAGATTAGCTTGGGAAATATTATTTTAGCTGTTTGAGGTAAGTAACCCTCTATCACTATTGGTTCATTTTTATTCCTATCGAATCATTTAAAATCATAAATATTTATTTATAGCCTTCATGTTCTCTTAAAAATAAAATATGGGTCAAGTATAAAACAACATCGAATATTATTATGAAAGTTATTTGAATATTTTGTGAAACTATTCTGAAAATTGTACCAAATGTTTATTTCGAAAATATCGAATATTTTATTTAAAAGTTGTGTATTGTTTGAATTTTGAACATCACTCTAGTCTGACTGTGATTTGGACCCTAGCCAATGGGGGTTATTTATTGGCACAGAAACTAGTTTCTTTTGGGGCTTTACCACCGGCCTATGTGTGGTTCTGGGCCTTGTCACGAGCTAAGTGGCCGTAGTCATTAAGACTTGTGTTTTGTGAATCAAATCATTGAACTATCTGAATATCGAACCATCGATTTGAACAACGAATTACATTGAATTATCACATTGGCTTTTCATTTAAAATGTATTGTACATTGTTTATTTTTAGCTATGAAACCACCTTACAAATAATTATTCGTTTATTGAACTGTAAAAAAAATTATATTTATTGGTTATTGATTTATTTATTTATTTTTGTACACTTGATCCAGCTAGCAGTGATGGTTGGTTATTTACTGGGCTATCTAGCTTACCCTTATTTTATTTTTTTAGATTCTGAAGAGTAGAGCTGCGCGGGATTTTTTTACATATGGGAGTGCCGAGACTAGGACCATGATTCAAGTACTTGGATTATTGTTTTGTTAGTATATTAAATTAGTGGACTTGGTGGACATTTTCATATAAGAACTATTTATTTTTATGGATTTTGGCATTATGACAATTAAGGATTTAATTTGAGTATTTTACATTGTGGGTTATGTGATTGGATTCTTAGCCTTACATGCTCACTTATATGAGTGTGCGGCGTTGTCACGGAGCTTGGGGCGTGACAATTTTGTGGTATCAGAGCCAGGTTGTAATTTTAAAGGCTAGTATAGAATAGTGGTGAGATTGGGTAGATGTAGGACTGGGAATGCTTATAAATTGGTACAATGTTAATTTTATTTTTATGTTATAGGGACTTGAGAATAGAATAAGATGAGGTTTTATTATTGATGCATATAGGTTGCAATGGAACATGAGGAGACATTGGCAAATCTCGTGTGGTTAGTATAGATGGCAGGAGATTGCTTGTAGACTTGACTATTTTAGATATGCGGGACTTTGACATAATTCTTGGAATGGATTAGTTGACAACCAATTATACTTCTGTTGATTGTTAAGGCAAAAGGGTAGCATTTTAGATTCCTGATCAACCAGAATTTTGTTTTGTGGATAATAGAGCTAACACTCCTCCTTTGGTAATCTCAGCTTTGCAAGCTAGACGATTGTTGAGGAATGGTTGCGAGGGTTATTTAGCTTCTGTGAGAGATATTCGTGAGACTAAATTGAAGTTAGAGGATATTCTAGTTGTAAAGGAATTTCCCGATGTTTTTCCTGACGACTTACCAGGGTTGCCACCAGATAGAGAGACTGAGTTTGCCATCGAATTGATACCCGGCACGGGTCCTATCTCCAAGGCTTCGTATCGGATGGCCCCAGCAGAGTTGAAAGCGTTAAAGGAACAATTACAAGAGTTACTAGATAAGGGCTTTATTAGGCCTAGTGTTTCTCCTTGGATTGCGTCCGTTTTATTTGTGACAAAGAAGGATGGTAGTTTTCACCTTTGCATTGATTATCGAGAGTTAAACATGGTGACAATTCGAAATAAATATCCTTTGCCTAGGATAAATGACCTATTTAATCAATTGCAAGGAGTACAAGTCTTTTCTAAGATTGACCTTCGTTCTGGATATCATCAGTTGAAGGTTAAGGTAGAAGATATACCTAGGACAGCCTTCCGAACTAGGTATGGGCATTATGAATTTTTAGTGATGCCGTTTGGGTTGACCAATGCGCCTGCAGCTTTTATGCATTTAATGAACAGAGTATTTAAACCCTTCTTAGATCAGTCTGTGGTAGTTTTTATTGATGACATTCTTATGTACTCGAAGAGTAAAGAGCAGCACGAAGAACATCTGAGAATAGTGTTGCAGATATTAAGGAAGAAGAAATTATTTGCTAAATTAAAGAAGTGTGAATTTTGGCTGGAGAGTGTATCGTTTTTGGGTCATGTGATATCTAGAGATGGGGTGTCTGTTGACCCCAAGAAAGTGGAGGCAGTGGTAGAGTGGAATAGGCCTACTAGTGTCACTGAAATTCGTAGCTTCTTGGGTTTAGCAGGATATTATAGAAGGTTTGTTGAGGGATTTTCCCGAATTTCTATGCCTTTGACTCGTTTAACATAAAACTATGTAAATTTGAGTGGTCTGATGATTGTAAGAAGAGTTTCTAGGATCTAAAGAGTCGATTAATGTGTGCTCCAATACTTATAGTTCCGTCGGGAGATGAAGGTTTTACCATCTATAGTGATGCATTGAAGATGGGTTTGGGTTGTGTCTTGATGCAGAATGATAAGGCAGTGGCATATGCGTCTAGGCAATTGAAGCCATATGAGCGGAATTATCCTACGCATGATTTGGAGTTGGCTGCAGTGGTGCT